CATTCTAAAAAATTGGACTTAAAAACTTATCTACCTATCTGCAGCTGGTAAAATCGAGAAGTCCGGAAAAAAAAATTCTATTCCAGCTACTTATCACTTTGCGCTTTTAGATAGACTTTGCTAAACCAACACACGTCTGATTTTGCCCTTCAAATGATTCATTTTTCATTAATTTATCAGAATAGTTTAAATCATCAGATTCCGAAACGTGAAAGGGTGCTCAAAATGTGCTGAAAGCCCTTAAGGCAACCCGGAGTCGATGAAAAGCGATGGAAACGTTTGAATGATCTTTACGGATTTTCTGTGATAATTGCTAAAAAGATCTTGATTTTGTAAAGGAGAAAAGTACCTAAAATTTACACGTAAGCATTTAAAAGTTTTAGAAAACAATAAATTTTGAAGTAGATCGCTAAATGATTCAGTGCAGCATTAAAAAATGTTTATATCAAAATTACCGTTTTTTTGGGGGGTAAGTGCTTTTAGCATTGTTAATAATACATTAAAATTTATATTTGAGACTTGATTTGAAAAGGAAACTTGCTTGAAAACAAATTGAATGCTTGAAAACAATGCAACCTAGATGCCGTAATTTTTAAAACATGATAGAAGTTTTTAATTTTTTCTGAGGTAAATTAAGCTAAAAATTCTCAGACTTATTTTTCGTCAGCAAAAAATTGTTAAATTATGTCGCTGTGAGATGTCTGTTTTCACCAAGAGAGTTTAGCATAATAGACTTCTTGATTTACAAGACCAGAACTGAACTTTAAAAGTGAATAAAGCGTGAGGAAAAGTTAAGAGACAAATTGAATGAAAAGGTGATTTTGAATGGTCAATAACTTTTTATTTTCAGAGAAAGTGGTGCTTAAAACTTTATAGCAATTAATTATAGGCATTCGCGAGATTTTTCAAAGGTTGCTCTGTTTCTGGCTGGAGGTTTTTTATGCATATTGGTGTACTGTTTAGTAGACTATAAAGTTGGCTGATAGAGCCTATTGGGCTTCTCTCTAAAACAAAAGCAGGTAACTGTTTTCAACTAACATTTATATTATAAAATTTTTTTGGGGATCTTTTTTTTTAAACAAAATGGGTTACTATTTAGTAATTTTACCAAAGGTTACTTAATATTTCTTTTTTCTTTTACCTTACTTCTAAACACTCACGGTTTATAGATCATAAAAAGAAATGTAGCACGCACCTTGTCCAAATAAAAAATTGTAAATTTTCGTCAGTATCTTCTGAAAAATACCGTACCGCTTATGTATTATCTAAAGCTTTTTGCAGAAGTAAGTCTAACAATAACAAGTTAAATGATAATACTGTAACCAGTTGCAGCATTTTTAAAACAGCATTACTAAGAACTATTTTCTTATATTTTTTGATAATCACTCAAACTAGAATAACTTCAACCAGCCTTTGGAAATCTCTTTTATCCAAATTACGATTCAAAAAAACGGGCTTACTCCTCTTGATTTAAATTACTCATTTATAAACATATATTACTTTTCACAAAACTGTTGAAAAAAATAAACTTCAAGAAGTTGGTATCTCAATTCTTGTAAATTTTTTTTCTAATATAGGATACTCTTCAAGTTGAGTGGTTTGCCCAAGCCTTTTCGGGTAATAATGACTTGGTCTGTCAAGTATTTTTCAAAAGATTTTATCAATTATGTGAAATCTCAGTCAGAAAACTGTCCGTGGAGCTGCTTTTACACAAACGACCGCAGGTTCCAGTTGAAACTG